TTATTTTATTTTATTTTATTTTATTTTATTTTATTTTATTATTATTTTATTTTATTATTATATTATTATATTATATTATATTATATTATATTATATTATATTATATTATATTATATTATATTATATTATATTATATTATATTATATTATATTATATTATATTATATTATATTATATTATATTATATTATATTATATTATATTATATTATATTATTATATTATTATATTTTATATTTTATTTTATTTTATTTTATTTTATTTATTATTTCATTTTATTTGTTTTATTTATTTTATTTTATTTTATTTATTTGTTTTGTTTTGTTTATTTTATTTTTTATTTTATTTTTTATTTTGTTATTTTATAGAATCGAATAGAATCGAATAGAATAAAGAATAGAATAGAATAGAACAGAACAGAATAAAGAATAGGATATAGACTAGATTAGACTAAGACTGACTATACTATACTATACTAGACTAGACTAGAATATAATAGACTAGACTAGACTAGACTAGAACAGAACAGAACAGAACAGAACAGAACAGAACAGAACAGAACAGAACAGAACAGAACAGAACAGAATAGAATAGAATAAAACAGACTACTATAGAACAGACTAGACTAGACTAGGCCAGACCAGACCAGACCAGACCAGACCAGACCAGACCAGACCAGACCAGACCAGACCAGAATAGAATAGAATAGAATAGAATAGAATAGAATAGAATAGAATAGAATAGAGCTGGAAGGGACCTTTGAGGTCTTCTAGTGGTCGTAAATTGGGGACTAGCTGTATTCTCACAGCTGGAGCAGGTGCCGCACTGGACCTGTTAGAGACATCCTAAAGGCCTGACCTGATGTGTTTTTTCCCTCTCACACTCTTTTTCTTCATCCCTGACAGATGTGTGTCCATTTGGGATCCTTGGAAGCCTGCATTACACCCTGGCTGGTTTGCCCCTGTTCAAGGATCAACACATCATTCTGAATCTAAATGTAAGGCTTGTTTCCCACTTGTTTCCAACACCTGAGCCGCTGCTGCTGCTTCTCCATGTGGCTTCCTCTGATTGCAGTCCTCGACCAGTTTTGATCAGGTCCACAATACGTTCAGATTAACTTCATTTATCGCAAAACAGTCTTTGCCCAGGAATCTTCTCAGCTAACATTCGCTTGGAGTTAGATAAGGGTCCATGGAATTCAAGGCGGGTTGGATTTTGATTGCTCGTGACTACGTAGGGATTCTAGGCTGGTGCCTCTTTTGACGCCGCCCGCAGTTTCTGCCCCTACAGTTTTCCTGAAAATAAAAATTCCTCAACCTACTGGGACTTGTTTTTGGGTGGGCATCTTTAAGATTGCACTGTTGAGCACACCTTAACCCAGGTATTTAAGCCCACACCGTCAATCCATATGGGGTTAATTAATCCAACAGCCTGGAATGAATGGAACTAATCTAACTTCCCCAGTCAGTCGGGCTGTGTAAATTACCCACAGTGGGATTATCTGTCTCTTCCCAGCTTGGAGATGGAGACCCTAGAGGGAATAAACATGTCAAAATGGGTCTGTGTCCTTTCTCTGTTTTGCCTCTGGGGGTACAGAAGGAGATTGTCAACCTTAACAGATAGGAAACAGGACCAGATACAGGAAGTCCTTGACATACGACCGTAATTGAGCCTGCCCATAACGGTCGTATGTTGTGACAGACGTACTTTGAGTTGGTTACGTGACTGTCCCAATTTTACAATGTTTTTAGGAGGTCATTAAATCAATGACCTCCTAAACAAATGCGACAGTCATTAAATGAATATCATGGTTGTTGAGCAAATCCATTGCTCTTTGTGCTGCGGTTTTGCTGAAAACCAGAAGCAACTGCCAGTTTGGGGGTTAAAATGTCATAAAAATGCAGTCACAAGACCAGAGGACACTGCAAAGGGCCGTCAATGCAGCCATGTTGCTGATGTCTGAAGTGCAGTCACATGACCAGGGAGTAGACCTTGGAACTGGGCCATAACTCCCCTTTTCCAGTAGGTTGCAACTTTAGAATAGAATAGAATAGAACAGAATAGAATAGAATAGAATAGAAATAAGAATTAGAATAGAATAGAAATTAAAATAGAATAGAAATAAGAATTAATAGAATAGAATAGAATAGAACAGAAATAAGAATTAGAATAGAATAGAATAGAATAGAATAGAATAGAAAATATAGAATAGAATAAACAGAATAGAATAGAACAGATTTAGAATAGAATAGAATAGAATAGAATAGAATAGAATAGAATAGAATAAACATAGAATAGAATAGAATAGAATAGAATAGAATAGAATAGAACAGATTTAGAATAGAATAGAATAGAAAATATAGAATAGAAAATATAGAATAGAATAGAATAAACATAGAACAGAACAGAACAGCAGAACAGAACAGAACAGAACAGAACTGAACTGAACTGAACTGAACAGAATAGAGCTGGAAGGGACCTTGGAGGTCTTCTAGTCCAGCCCCCTGCTCAAGCAGGAGAACCTATACCATCTCAGACAAGTGACGGTCTAGTCTAACCTGGTTCTAGATCAAGGACGACCTGTAAACTAATTCTCCTGGATTGTAAAGCTACCGTAACAGAATCTTGCAAGTCTGAAAATGCAAATCTCCCGCAGCCTCCTTTACAGCCACAGAAACTAGGGTGGGTTTCTTCTGAACTTCTTTTTCCCCCACCCATTATGCAACTACGGGCTATGACCTCTCTTATCTGTCTGTCCGTTTGGTGCTCTCCAATGCATTCTCTCGTGACCTTTGATCTTTCCAGCTCATGATGACCGACCTCAAAGGCCAACCTGTGGACTTTCCTGGAGCCCAAAATACCTCTTTGCCTCTGCCTCCCGCCATGGACCGGACTTCTCAGCTGATGCTTCCCCGTGACCTCCTGTCCTCCTTGCTCCAGATGCTCGTATCGAAAGGAGGGTTCAACGTAGACCTCACTGAACTGGCGGTGAGCCATCTTATAATAATAATAATAATAATAATAACAACAATAATAATAATAATAATAATAATAATAATAATAATAATAATAATAATAATAATAATAATAATAATAATAATAATAATAATAATAATAATAAAGTTGGAAGGGACCTTGGAGGTCATCAAGCCCAACCCCCTGCTCAGGCAGGAAATCCTATACCATTTCGGACAAATGGCTGTCCAGTCTCTTCTTAAAAACTTCCAGTGTTGGAGCATTCACCGCTTCTGGAGGCAGGTGGTTCCACTGGTTAATTGTTCTCACTGTCAGGAAGTTTCCCCTTAGTTCTAGGTTGCTTCTCTCCTTGATTAGTTTCCATCCGTTGCTTCTTGTCCTCCCTTCGGAGGCTTGGGAAAATAGCTTGACTCCCTCTTCTTTGGGGCAGCCCCTGAGATATTGGAACACTGCTATCATGTCCCCCCTCGTCCTTCTCTTCATTAAGAGAAGGGAATGGACCTTGGAGGTCATCTAGTCCGACCCCCTGCCCAGGCAGGAGACCCTATACCATTTCGGACAAATGGCTGTCCAGTCTCTTCTTAAAGACTTCCAGTGTTGGAGCATTCACCGCTTCTGGAGGCAGGTGGTTCCACTGGTTAATTGTTCTAACTGCCAGGAAGTTTCTCCTTAGTTCTAGGTTGCTTCTCTCCTTGATTAGTTTCCATCTGTTGCTTCTTGTCCTGCCTTCAGGGGCTTTGGAGAACAGTTTGACTCCCATATCAGTGCCTTTAACCATCTTTTCTTCCTTAACGTGCAATTTGTTTTCCGGGACAACGAGTGGATTTGTCTTTTGGGGTGGCGGAAAGAAGCCAACACAATCCAAAGAAATCACCACATCAGACAGAAAAATCTGGGCCAGCTGGGAATAAGATGTTGAAGGAGGGTTTTTTTTTTTTGTCTCACTATCGGTGTTGTTTCTTCTAGCTTCGTGGATCCGTTCCAATGACAACATCGGCTCTTCGGTCTGTGCTACCCAAGGTAAAATCTCAAATACACAAGAGGTCTCATAACCATAATTAGCTTTTCTCTCTCAAGCTTTGGGATAAGATTAGGTGAGTGGCATGAGAAGTCTGAGGTGGTGCCAGGTTTTTGTGGCTTTTGCAGGTAATCCTCGGCGTACGGACCATAATTGAACTCAAAATGTCTGTGGGACAGTTATTAAATGAGTTTTGCTCCATTTTACGCCCTTTCTTGCCTCAGTTGTTAAGTAAATTGTTGCAGATATTAAGCAAGTAACGTGGTTTTTAAGTGAAACCGGCTTCCCCCGTTGACTTTGCTTGTCAGAACGTCGCAAAAGGGGATCACTTGATGCCAGGACATTGCAACAGTCATAAGTACATGCCAGTTGCCAAGCCTTTGACCCCAGGGACGCTGCGACCATCATAAATACGAGTCAGTTGCCAAGCGTCTGCATTTTGATCACGTGACCCTGGGGATGCCACGACGGCCATAAGTGTGAAAAACGGTCACAAATCACTTTTTTCGGCCCCTTTGTAACTTCTTCAAACGGTCACTAAATGGACCGTTGTAAGTTGAGGACAAGTTGTAATGTGTTCCATGTGTATAGTTTTTGTGGTTTTCGTGCTGCTTTAATTTTGGGTTGGGAGCTGCCCAGAGCTGGTTAGAAAATGGGCATCTAGATAAGTTAGATAACCTTGATTGTCATTTTTGTGGGCACAACGGCACACATTAAAAATGAAATTTAGTTGCTTGCTCCCAAAGTGTACACATGCATAACACACGTGTACCTTACAGTACAATTGCGCTTTAGATTACAAATAGTTCCCCTGGACTACGTAGCAGAGATTTCAGTTCAATACTTTTTTCTATGAGGCCTGATTTAGTTCACCTGGGCCTAAATCTTGCATAGAAGAAAAATAGCCAACATTTTCATTTTCCACAAGGGGGGGAAAAAAATCCAAGGAAGTCCAGTTGCCTTTTGTGTGTGTGTGGGGGGGGGAGCAGCTTTGGGATAATGACCAGGGGGAATGTTCTGCCCCTTCTGGTGGGTCCTAACCATTCCTTCTGTCCGATTGTCCACAGTTGTCTCAGCTTGGAGCAGAAGATCTGCCCTTGGTGGTCAAGATTAGAGTCGGTGGACTTCCGGTGGTGTCTTTGCAAAATGGGAAGGCCACGATCCTGCTTGAGGCTGGCCTTCAAGTGTTCTCCCATTCCAACTCTAGCCTCACCCCGCTCTTTAACGTGAACACGGTAAGTAAGGAAAGAAGGACCAAGTTCCTCGTACTCATTGGGTGATCCTTGATGTCGAAAGAAAAAAATCTTCATCAGGGTTCAGTCCAAGCCGGGAATAAACAATATGGTGACTGCTTTAGTAAGAAGGGTGCAGTTTATTGAAGAGCCAGACAGGAAGATGGCTCTGGAAGAAAAGAGAGCGAGCACATGTTGGGAGTGGGTTTTTATACCATCTGGAGCATTTTGTTTGGAGTTGTTCCTGTGGCATGAACTTTGATCTGAGTCTGAGTGTGCCTTTCTGGTCTTCTGATGGTGGTGGGTTAATCCTATTATGTCCCAAAGGTCATATCCTGCTTCCCTGGGGCTGGGGCTGATGACTGTTGGATTTTTTTTGGTGTGAGGGATTGTTGATTGTTTCTTTCTAATTCTAGCTTTCTGACTCCAATCCTTCTGACAAGATTATCACATCTGCATTTCTGCAGACCAGGTTTCTGTTTGGGGCAGAGAGACTGGATCGGGGGCGGCATTAAGATCCTTTGGGGAAATTGATTCTACCTTTTTAATATTTCCCAAAATATTTCTTTCTCTGGATTCTCCCCACATTGACGTGGAAGTGTCACCAGACAAAGGTGCAACCACTGATTCCTCGGGGGCCTCCTCCTGTTTCTAATCTCTCAACTTCCTTGTCCCTAATTACCGGCTTTAATTCTCTTTATTCACTGATAAGGGTAGCTGTTGCAGCCAGTGGGATTTTGCGGCTTCTAAACCCGGCCACCTTATCACAGAAGTAGGTCTTCTGATCCTTGGTGTACTTTCTCCAAGCACAATGGGGCTTTCATGGTGTGCCAGGAATGTCGGGGCCTGCTCAGCTCCTCCATTTTCAAGAGAGACCCGTTCAGTGGAGCAGTAAAAATATGTCTTTCTCTACTCCGTGAATGGCTTCCTTCCTTCCTGTTGAGTTGGGTTGGGGACTGCAGAGGAACAAGGCTTTCTGGTCTCCCAGTAGATGACTTGTTGGGAAGCTAGTGTGCTTAATTAGGCATTCATTAAATAGACATTGGAAGGGACCACTGAATAGAATAGAATAGAATAGAATAGAATAGAATAGAATAGAGCTGAAGGGACCTTGGAGGTCGTCTAGTCCAGCCCCCTTCTCAAGCAGGAGAACCTATACCATTTCAGATAAGTGACTGTCTAGCCTTTTCTTAAAAACCATCAGTGATGGAGCACCCACGATTTCTGGTGGCAAGCTGTTCCACTAGTTAATTGTCCTCACTTTTAGGAAGTTTCTCCTTAATTCCAGGTTGCTTCTCTCTTTGGTCAGTTTCCAACCATTGTTTCTCGTCCTGCCCTCTGGTGATTTGGTGAACAACCTGGCCCCCTCTTCTTTGTGGCAGCCCCCTCAGATACCGGAAGACTGCTATCATGTCTCCCCTGTTTCTTCTTTTCTTTAGACTAGCCAAACCCAAGTCCTGCAGCCATTCTTCGTATGTTTTAGTCTCCAGGCCTTGGATCATCTTAGTTGCTCTTCTCTGAACTTTTTTTTCCCAAAGTCTCAATATCTTTTTTGTGATATGGTGACCAAAATTAGCTGCAGTATTCCAGGGGTGGCCTCACTAGGGTTTTATAAAGTGGTATAAATACCTTGCATGATCTTGATTCTATGCCTCTGTTTATACAACCCAGGATTGCATTAGCTTTTTTTGGTTGATGTTATGATTACAGAATATCAGCCTGAGCGGAAGCTTCAGTGTTACACGAACCAAGCTAGGAATCTCTCTAGCCTTGGAAAGGTAAGCAAACTCTTAATCACCTGTGGGATTGTGACCTTTGGACTAACAGGGCCCCTTATTTATAGATATACCTGGCTTATTTGAGGATGATGTGTCCTTCGTCCCAATTCAGAATAACAGAACAATAGAGTTGGAAGGGACCTTGGAGGTCTTCTAGTCCAACCCCCTGCTCAAGCAGGAGACCCTATACCATTCCAGACAAATGGATGGGCAATCTCTTCTATTAAAGCCTCCAGTGATGATGATGATGATGATGATGATGATGATGATGATGATGATGATGATGATGATAATAATAATAATAATAATAATAATAATAATAATAATAATAATAATAAAGTTGGAAGGGACCTTGGAGGTCATCTAGTCCAACCCTCTGCTCAGGCAGGAAACCCTATACCATTTCAGACAAATAGCTGTCCAGTCTCTTCTTAAAAGCTTCCAGTGTTGGAGCATTCACAGCTTCTGGAGGCAGGTAGTTCCACTGGTTAATTGTTCTCACTGTCAGGAAGTTTCTCCTTAGTTCTAGGTTGCTTCTCTCCTTGATTAGTTTCCAACTTGAGGGAGCAACCCACAACTTCTGGTGGCAAGCCATTCCACTGACTAATTGTTCTCATGGTCACAAAATTTCTACTTAATTCTAGGTGGGTTCTCTCCTCGATTAGTTGCTAATTTTCTCTCCTTGGTCGTTTTCCATCCGTTGCTTCTGGTCCTGCTTTCAGATCCTTTGGAGAATAGGTGGACCCCCCCCCTCTCTTCTTTGTGGCAGCCCCTCAAATATTGGAAGGCTGCTATTATGCCACCCCTGGCCCTTCTCTTTGTTAGACAGAATAACAGAATAACAGCGTTGGAAGGGACCTTGGGGGTCTTCTAGTCTAACCCCCTGCTCAGGCAGGAGACCCTGTACTATTCCAGGTACAAATAGTTGTCCAATCTCTTCTTTAAAAATCCTCCAGTGTTGGAACACCCCAAACTATTCAGCTTGGATAGAAGAATTTCCAACTGGTAGTGCCCACCATAAACATCCTAGAGGGATAGCTGGTCATCCTTCTGAGACCTCCTTGGACTAAATTGGGAAGATGTGCAGCTAGTTAGGGACCTGGAGGTCAAAACATATGAAGAGCTGTTTGCAGGAATTGGGTACGCCTACAAAGGAAAATGAAGATTAGGGGCGACGTGATAGCATCTTCCAATATTTGAGGGGCTGCCCCAAAGAAGAGGGAGTCAAGCTATTCTCCAAAGCAGGCCTGGAGTTACAGCCCGCAAGTCTTAATGTTGCCAAGTTTAGGAGACCCCTGACTTGACATGTGCTGGTCAGGTGCTCCTGACCTCATGATGCACCTTTGTGACCTGTTCGGACATATCAGATGTCTTATAAATGTCTTCATTTTCCTATTCCTTTTCACAGCGTCTCTCTCGGTGTCTCTGAGGTGGGCTCCTTTGATGTAAGTCTGTCTCCTGCAACTTATTGGCAACACAAATGCTAGAAGATTATATTTTCATTGATCAGGTGAATTAGAAATATCTGGGTGGATGCTTGAGGCTCTTATTAGAAAGAGCGAGTTCTAGTCCCGCCTTAGGCATGAAAGCCAGCTGGGTGACTTTGGGCCAATCACCAGGAGACGGTGAGTTCTAGTCCCGCCTTAGGCATGAAGGCCAACTGGGTGACTTTGGGCCAATCACCAGGAGACGGTAAGTTCTAGTCCCGCCTTAGACATGAAAGATGGCTGGATGCCTTTGGGCCAATCATTAGGAGACGGTGAGTTCTAATTCCGCCTTAGGCATGGACGATGGCTGGTTAACTCTGGGCCAATCACCAGGAGACCGTGAGTTTTAGTCCTGCCTTAGGCACAAAAGATGGCTGGGTGACTTTGGGCTAATCACCAGGAGACGGTGAGTTCTAGTCCCGCCTTAGACATGAAAGATGGCTGGATGACTTTGGGCCAATCATTAGGAGACGGTGAGTTCTAATTCCGCCTTAGGCATGGACGATGGCTGGTTAACTCTGGGCCAATCACCAGGAGACAGTGAATTCAAGTCCCGCCTTAGGCACAAAAGACGGCTGGGTGACTTTGGGCCAATCACCAGGAGATGGTGAGTTCTAGTCCCGCTTTAGGCATGAAAGATGTCTAGATGACCTTGGGCCAATCACCAGGAGACGGTGAGTTCTAGTCCCGCCTTAGACATGAAAGATGGCTGGATGACTTTGAGCCGATCACCAGGAGACGGTGAATTCTAGTCTTGCCTTAGATATGAAAGATGGCTGGATGACTTAGGGTCAATCATCAGGAGACGGTGAGTTCTAGTCCTGCCCTAGATATTAAAGCCAGCTGGGTGACTTTGGCTCAGTCCCTTGCTCTCTTAACGCAACCCACCTCACAGGGTTCTTGTTGTGGGGAAAATAGGGTGAGGATGGTGTGTCAGATAGGTTCGCTGCCCAGAGTTATTTATAAAGTAATAAAGGCAGAATATAAAACAAATGTCACTTTTTTCAGTGCGGCTGCAACTTCAAACGGTCGCCAATCGAGTCGTCGTAAGCTGAGAACTCCCTCTACATGAATAAATAATGGGAATCTGACCTTTCATTAGCCAATTATGACTTTCCAAGATCCGCAGGGATAGGAGAGCGATCCCTGGGTGTTTATTTATTAAATATATATCTTTCCCCCAGTGTAACGCTGTAACTCTGGGCAGCTTCCGATATTAAAAAGATAACACTCGGCAAATAAAATACTACAAAAATATACAATGCAACACCCTAGCTAAAAAAAGGAAGGGGAGGGAAGGGTCGTGCTGGGGAGTCAGCCACCGAACATTTTAAATATATGTGCTACTAATTGCAAAATCCTGTTGCAAAAAATAGAAATAATTCTCACCCACCCACCCCCTTTTTTTTTTTTTTTGCAGGAAAACGCCCTTACAAACTGGATCAGAAGCATCCTTCAGATCGGGTACCTGCCTCTGATTGACGGTAGGACGTCCGATTTGTGTTACTGTAATGAAGGGGGGGTTGCACTGCGACAAATGTGTTGTGAGCTGGGGAGGAGGCCAGTTCCATGATGCACTTTGTACAGCAGTGTCATCGTGGAAACGACACACATTAAGTAATTTGCGAAGAAGTCGGTGATATCATCACGGCTTCTGAGAAACACTTATGATGTCGGATCTAACTCTGTGGTTTCGTTGTTTCTGTCTAGTTGACCTGAACATCGGAATCCCACTGCCGAATATTTTCAACCTGAACTTTGCCGACGGTGTTGTTAAAACCCTTGATGTAAGAGCTTGTTTATTTCCTCAAGAAAGATTCCTTCCAAGCTGGTGGCCACTGTCTTCAAGAAATGAGACATAAGCCACTCAGACCTCCGAAGGGCAAAATGCAGTATTTTTACCTCCACATCCAAGGGGAAACTTGACGAAGTGCAGAGTTTACAAAGACCAGAATTTACCTAAATGTGGAAGGGAGGAAGGAAGGAAGGAAGGAAGGAAGGAAGAAAGAAAAAAAGAAAGAAAGAAAGAAAGAAAGAAAGAAAGAAAGAAAGAAAGAAAGAAAGAAAGAAAGAAAGAAAGAAAGAAAGAAAGAGGATGGATAGATGGATGGATGGTGAAAGGAAGGAGTGAAGAAGGAAGGAAAGGTGGAAGGAAGGAAGATGGATGGATGGTGAAAGGAAAGAAGGAAGGAGGATGAATGGTGAAAGGAAAGAAGGAGGATGGATGGTGAAAGGAAGGAAGGAAGGAAGGAAGGAAGGAAGGAAGGAAGAAAGAAAGAAAGAAAGAAAGAAAGAAAGAAAGAAAGAAAGAAAGAAAGAAAGAGGATGGATGGATGGTGAAAGGAAGGAGTGAAGAAGGAAGAGTGGAAGGAAGGAAGGAAGGAAGATGGATGGATGGTGAAAGGAAAGACGGAAGGAAGGAGGATGAATGGTGAAAGGAAAGAAGGAAGGAAGGAGGATGGATGGTGAAAGAAAGGAAGGAAGGAAGGAAGGAAGGAAGGAAGGAAGAAAGAAAGAAAGAAAGAAAGAAAGAAAGAAAGAAAGAAAGAAAGAAAGAAAGAAAAGATGGATGGTAAAAGGAAGGAAGGAGTGAGGAAGGAAGGAAGGAAGGAAGAAAAAGAAAGAAAGAAAGAAAGAAAGAGGATGGATGGATGGTGAAAGGAAGGAGTGAAGAAGGAAGGAAGGGTGGAAAGAAGGAAGGAGGATGAATGGTGAAAGGAAAGAAGGAAGGAAGGAGGATGGATGTGAAAGGAAGAAAGAAAGGAAGAAAGAAAGAAAGAAAGGAAAGAAAGAAAGAAAGAATGGATGGATGATAAAAGGAAGGAAGGAGTGAGGAAGGAAGGAAGGAAGGAAGGAAGGAAGGAAGGAAGGAGGGAGGGAAGGAAGGAAGGAAGGAAGGAAGGAAGGAAGGCGTGCTTTGGCTCAGACCAAGGCCAAGGCCAGCCAGCCTTTCTCTTCCCCCTGTAGCCAATCAAGATAGTCTAGCCTGGGTTCATGGCTGTGGACAACAGAATTCCCCTACTTGAAATCCTGCAGACCATATTAACCCCACGCTGGTGGCCCTCCTAGCGGGAAGCCTTTGCCCTCCACCACTCTGTCTTTTGGATCCCTTTGTCTGGCTGACCAATTCTGAATGCACCTCTTTTCTGCTCTCCAGGAGGTGGTGGTGATCAATAAGATCCTTAAATAAGACACCGAAGGAAGGAACTCCAAGGTGGAGGAACTGGCTCTGTTCCCTCAACCTCTCCGTCATTCTAGAAGCAGGCGAACCTCAAGCTGCCCCATCTTCTTCTCCAGTAGCTCAATTGCTTCAGTCTCTGCTTTCATTTCTTCAGCGTGGACCACCTTAGATCTACAACTGTAGAGATCTACCGCCCTCTCCGAGATGACTTGATTGGCTTGCTCAATAAAAAGGTGTTTACAGTGTCTATGCATGTCTGCGTTTTCCTCTCTCCCACCAAGTAGCTGCCTTCAGAAATTGCGGGCACTCCGTCACTGGCAACCAACTCGCGTTTATGACGGTTTGCAGTGTCCCCGGGTGTCCCATGATCCCCTTTGGAGACCTTCCGACAAGCAAAGTCAACGAGGAAGCCAGATTCACTTAACAACCGTGTGTAGAAAGAAAGATGTTCATCAGGGTCCAGTCCAAGCCGGGAATAAACAAAATGGAGACTGCTTTAGAAAGAAGGTTGCAATTTTATTGATGAGGAGAGCCAGACAGAAAGACGGCTCTGGGAAAAACTGACCACCTGTAGTAGGGAGTGGTGGGTTTTTATCCCTCCTTGGGCTTTTGTTTGGAGTTGTTCCTGTGGCATGAACTTTGAGTCTGAGTGTGCCTTTCTGGTATTCTGATGGTGGTGGGTTAATCCTATTGTGTCCCAAAGGTCATATCCTGCTTCCCTGGGGCTGGGGCTGACGAGTGTTGGATTTTTTGGTGTGAGGGATTGTTGATTCTAGGGATCTTTGTCTTTCTAATCCCAGCTTTCTGACTCCAAACTTTCTGACAAGATTATCACATCCTCATTTCTGCAGACCTGGTTTCTGTTTGGGGCAGAGAGACTGGAGGGGGGGTTGATTCCTGCCTTTAACATCCTTTGGGGAAATATAATATTCTGCCTTTTCAATATTCCCCAAAATATTTCTTTCTCTGGCTGGAGGGAGCTGACTTCCCACACGTGTTACTCACTTAACAACTGCAGTGATTCACACAACAACCATGGCAAGAGAGGTCATAAAACGGGGCAAAACTCACTTAATGACTATCTCGCTTAGCAACATGATGATAACAACAACAACAACAATAATAATGATGATGATAATGATAATAATGATGATAATGATGATAATAATAATGATAATGATAATAATAATGATAATAATAATTAATAATAATAATACCTGGTTGACACCTAGGATGCTGGTAGCAACCCATGTCAACTATCAGCGCCAGCCAATTTGAATGTTCAGTTGACTGAGGTTCATGTCTAATGAATAAAAGATAATAATAATAATAATAATAATAATAACAACAACAACAACAACAATAACAATAACAATAATAGAGTTGGAAGGGACCTTGGAGGTCATCTAGTCCAACCCCTTGCTCAGGCAGGAAACCCTACATCATTTCAGACAAAAGGCTGTCCAGTCTCTTCTTAAAAACTTCCAGTGTTGGAGCATTCACCGCTTCTGGAGGCAGGTTGTTAATAATAATAATAATGTTGGAAGGGACCTTGGAGGTCATCTAGTCCAACTCCCTGCTCAGGGAGGAAACCCTGCACCATTTCAGACAAATGGCTGTCCAGTCTCTTCTTGAAAACTTCCAGTGTTGGAGCATTCACTGCTTCTGGAGGCAGGTTGTTCCACTGGTTAATTGTTCTCACTGTCAGGAAGTTTCTCCTTAGTTCCAGGTTGCTTCTCTCCTTGATAAAAGTTTCCATCCTTTGCTTCTTGTCCTGCCTTCAGGCGCTTTGGAGAACAGCTTGACTCCCTCTTCTTTGGGGCAGCCCCTGAGATACTGGAAGGCTGCTATCCTGTCCCCCCTCGTCCTTCTCTTTGTTAAACTAGCCGTTCCCAATTCCAGCAACCGTTCCTTATATGTTTTAGCCTCCAGTCCCCTGATCATCTTTGTTGCTCTTTTCTGTACTCTTTCTAGAGTCTCAACATCTTTTTTACATCGTGGTGACCAAAACTGGATGCAGTATTCCAAGTGTGGCCTTACCACGGCATTGTAAAGTGGTATTAACACGTCGCGTGGTCCTGAATCTATCCCTCTGTTAATGCAGCCTAGCACTGTGTTGGCTTTTTTGGCAGCTGCAGCACACGGCTGGGTCCTATTTAATTTAATTCTTGGGCTCCATTGGGGTGGTAAGTCAAGGAGTACCTGAACCTAATGAGATGTTTACAGGAAAAAGATTAGACATTTTTCTTGCTTTAATCTGGAAAGGGAGCTAATGAGCATTAAGATTGCTTCTGTCTGGACAGCTAATCCTCCTTGTTATGCAAAGACGGAAGCATTCACAAGTTTTATCTCGCTTGGGTCTTAAGTGTTCAGTTTAGAAGGACAAAGATGCCTTTTGTGGCCTGGAGAGAGTCGAATGAGCAGCTGACGTGAATCCCAACAGTTTTTAGCGTCCCTTGGAGAACCCAAAGGTGTCAAAATCAGCCCTCCATTAGCTCAGTGTCTGTGGGAGGGCCACCCCCCATTTCTCAAAACAATGTCCACATTAAGGAGACAGGAAATCTGGGCTAAATCAGACTTTGTGGTGCCTAGAATGGACACACACACACACACACACACCACCGCCACACCCCCATCAAGAGAAAGCTTTGATTGGCTTCAGATGGAGACCATCTTTTGAAATCCTGGGCTGGCTCCCAAGTCACCTCAATCGATAAGAATAGAATAGAGCTGGACGGGACCTTGGAGGTCTTCTAGTCCAGCCCCCTTCTCCAGCAGGAGAACCTATACTATTTCAGACAGGTGACTGCCACTAGAAGTTGTGCTCCATCACTGGAGGTTTTCAAGAAAGGACTGTGCAGCC